CCAACCAACCACGAGCAGTTGAGACCCTGGAGTTGAGATGGTTGAGATCTCCAAGCCCAACCACTGAAGGGCTCGGGGAGGGGGATCTGGGACGCGACAGATCCCCTCCCGCAGCTCCCCAGTGCCACCAGCGGAGCCCATGGTCCCGTTCCCGCGCAGGTTGACAGCAGCTGGCGCCGGGAGAGGATCCTGCACGTGCCGCTGTGCAGAGAGGACTGCGAGCAGTGGTGGGAGGACTGCAAGGACTTCGTGACCTGCAAGGACGACTGGCACAAGGGCTGGAACTGGGCGACAGGTTGGTGGGGGGCAAACCCCTGCTCGTGGCTGGAACCCGGACCCCCAATTAACAGAATCGTTAAGGTTGGAAGAGACCTTCAAGGTCTTTGAGTGCAACCCAACCGTGGCCACTAAACCACGTCCCCAAGTGCCACATCCACCACTTCTTGACCCCCTCCCAGGGATGGGGACTCCCCCACTGCCCTGGGCAGCCCCTGCCAGTGCTGAGAACCCTTTGGGGAAGTAAATTTTCCCCAATATCCAATCCAGCCCTCCCCTGCTGAGCCCCTCCTGCCTGTGGGGTTGCCCACCACGAGGTGACCGAGCCCACATCCATCCCCAAGCCGCAGTGTCCCCCTCCTCCCGTGTGAACGGGCACAAGCGGAGCATCGTCCTCTCCTGTGGTGCTGTGTCCCCTCAGGAACCAACCGCTGCCCGTGGGGCTCCATGTGCAGGCCCTTCAGCGAGGTCTTCCCCCACCCTAAGGACCTGTGCGAGAAGATCTGGTCCAGCTCCTACAGGTACAGCCCGGAGCGGCGAGGGAGCGGGCGCTGCATCCAGATGTGGTTCGACCCTGCCCAGGGCAACCCCAACGTGGCGGTGGCCAAGTTCTACGCCTGGAAGAAGAGATCCTCACCCTCTGGGATGGAAAACGTGGCGCCGGAGGCCGACGAGGCCGCGCGGCCCCTGCCCTGGCCCGTCCTGGTCCTGCTGCTGCTGCCCCTGGCCCTTGTGGGGGTCCCTGGGGGCTGGGGGTCCCATGGGTGGGGGTCGCTGTGATGGGTCCCTGGGGGGGATGTGGTTTGGGGTGCTCCTGATGCTCTACGAGAGGAGCCGGTGTAGGTCACTTAGGTCTGTCCAAACTGGTCAGGCACCAGTAAATGCTCCTCGTGGGTGATGGTTTGGCCCCTGGGAGCTGCTGGAGGCCCTGACGTCCTCGCTGTCCTAGGCAGGGTGGTGTCCTCGCTCTGGTTTCGGAGCCTGGTCCCAAACTGTGGCGCTTGGCCATGGTCCTCCGCTGAGCTCTGGTGTCGCGGACACCCCAAGGATGGGGATGATGATGAGTAATAAATTGTTGTGGTTCATCAGCATCGCTGTGCTGGGGTTGAGTTATGGACCCACGGCCTGGCGGGGTGGGAAGGGACCCGGGGAGATCACCCAGGGTCACCCAGAGATCACCCAGGACCACATCCAGGGGCCTGGGTGTCTCTGGAGAAGGAGACCCCGCACCTCCCTGCACCCTCACATCGATGAGATTTTCCTCTGTCCCAGTCTGGGACCGTCCCCGAGGAGGTGGAAGTGCTCTGGGGTGCACCACGGCTGCTGGTCTGGACTGGGAGGTGGTGGTGGGTGCGGGGTCTGCCCGTGGAGGGGTGTGCGGGGAGGGTGCAGTCGGCCTGGGCGCCCACGGCCCCTCGGGTGCTGGGCTCTGCTCCGTGGGGGTGCGGGGTTGGCCCCGTGTCTGCGCTGGGGGTCCTGCGGCAGAACACGGGCACCCACGGGAGAGGGACCGTGAGAGAGGGACCCACGGGAGAGGGATCCAAACCCACGGGAGAGGAATCGTGAGAGAGGGACCCATGAGAGAGGGACCCAGACCCACGGGAGAGGGACTGTGAGAGAGGGACCCAGGGGAGAGGGATCCAGATCCACAGGAGAGGAATTGTGAGAGAGGGACCCACGGGAGAGGAATCCATGGGAAAGGAAACAGCAGGAGAGGAACCTGTGAGAGAGGGACCCAGACCCACGAGAGAGGGACCCGCAGGACAGGAACCCAGACCCACGGAAGAGGGACCTGTGAGAGAGGAATCCAGGGGAGAGGGACCCACGGGAGAGCGACCCACGAGAGAGGAACCCGAACCCAGGGGAGAGGAACTTGTGAGAGAGGAACCCACGGGAGAGCAATCCGAGAGAGACACCCACGGGAGAGGAACTCGTGAGAGAGGAACCCACGGGAGACCCACGGGAGAGGGATCCAAACCCGTGAGAGAGGAACCCACGGGAGAGGGACCCGTGAGAGAGAAACCCATGAGAGAGGGACTCAGACCCACGAGAGAGGGACCCGCAGGAGAGGAACCCAGACCCGCGGGAGAGGGAACCGCGGGAGAGGGACCCGGACCCACGGAAGAGGGACCTGTGAGAGAGGAATCCAGGGGAGAGGGACCCACGGGAGAGGGACCCGTGAGAGAGGAACCCAGGGGAGAGGGACCCAAACCCACGAGAGAGGGACCCGAGCCCAAGGGAGAGGGACCCACGGGAAAGGAAACAGAGGGAGAGGGACCCGTGAGAGAGGAACCCGGACCCACGGGAGAGG